TGTAAAGTGAGCCTGGGGAGAGTCACATGGAGAGAAAAGTCATTTTCTCAGACTTTCACAGAGAGCAAATTGGTCAAGCAATGGCCGTGACTCATCCTCATGTTTTACACTGACAAAAGGATGTACAAAGGGCGGTACAGGGCTACAGGATAAATCCTGAGAGTACTTGGATGACCTTATCAGATACAAAAGTTACATTTCTTGTTATATAGGTCTTGCCTTTACAGTGGACCACTTACATTCTTGGGGGTTACACCCTTAGAGCTCCCATGACTTGTGAAAAACCACAATTTAAGAAACGGTCAGAAAAAATGTCTATAAATGCCTATTTTTATAGTTTAAACCCTAAATATACTACATTTCCCATAGTTGTGTAATTTCATTTAATAAAATACTGCATTAATAAAGCTTTGGGTACTGCAGGGCATTTTGGTGGCATTTTAGAGATTCTAAGGCTTTAAGAAGAACAAAATTGAGAACACTTATGATACTACATGTGGTACAGCAACTTATACCACAAGGAACGTGGGAATGCTGGTCCATCTGCAGAGATGGGTTATAGACAGCAGCTAGGAGAACTGAACAACACTCTTGGATTGTCTACTTGCAAATCTCCCACCAAAAAAGAAATTGTGGGGGATATTTGAAGATTTCATAAAATTGTGGGAGTTTCCATGAACAACCACGAGTTAGGTTCTAAGGAAAAATCTGCAAATTATTGAGGTTGAAAATTCTGAACTGCTACTTCATAGCAGTATAGTGTATATATACAGTGGAGTACTACTATGCCATAAAGAAGCATAAACTTGATTCATTTTATTCATTTATTTTTAGGTAAATGGATGTACCTCAAGACCATAGTTTTAAGTGAAATAAATCACCCTATACATTTAAATATCACATTGTTTCTCTTGTGTGAGAATCTCAAAGGGTAACTTAGGAACAAAATGGAAGATAGATATTCGAAAGTAGAAAGAACATGTTCAACTGGGAAGGGAAACAAGGAAGGAAGAGTGGGGATGGAAGAAAAAAGGACTGAAAAATAGAATGGAAGAAAATAAAGTTTTCAAAAATAGGGAGGGGAAGAGAATGGGAAAAAGAAGAATTAAGATATATTATGTACAGGTACAAATTCCCTATGATGAATGTGATCATTATGGATAGCAAACATGTACTAATAAAAATAAATACAATTGGAGCCGGGGAGATGGCTCAGTAAAATAAGTGTTTCCCTGGCAAGCACAAGGGTCTGAGTTCAATCCCTGGTTCTACCAAAAAACTAAAAAAAGAATAAATAAGTAAATAAATATAATGTATTTGGAATACCAGTAATGTGTTAGTTAAAATGTCTTTCAAATGTTTCTCAATTGGTAGTTTGTCTTATTATTTATTTATACAGTATATGGAAACTTTGACTTTAGATATGCTTATTAGACCTACATATCTCCCCTCCTGAAGCTTTACAAATACTTAGCTCAGATCTAAAGATTAAATATGGTTTAAATACTCCACAGTGAGCATGATTACTTTTATAAATGATATTACAATAAATGTAAGAGATATCTTTTCACATTTCTCTAAACCTGCATATGTGTTGAGCATTTGGTTCTTGGTAGTTATAAAAGTTGAGTCATAGTACTTCTTGGACAGCTAAGGAACCTAAAAAAGGGAGAGCCTGGCATGGGTCTTGGCTTATTTACTTAGAGATGACTCGGATACATACTCCTAATTAAGAATCCCTGTCAGATCAGGGTATGGTAGTGTACATCTTTTATTCCTGCACTCTGGTAGGTTGAGGCAAGAAGACCACAAATTCAAACCCAGCCTGGGCACCTCAGTGATTTAGAAAGATCCTATCTCAAAATTAAAAAATAAAAAAATGAGCTGGGAACGTAGCCAAGCACAAAGGCTCTGGGTTCAATGCCTAGTATGAACAAACAGACAAACAAATAAATAAAAACAACAATAAAAAATCCCACTAGGAGCAATGTACTAGGCTTTGGGTGGGAGTGATGTTCCACTGGAGCCTTGGGGAGCAGAGCTGAAGAGCTGATGTAATTGCAACATGCAAAACACCTCTGAAGCGGGGATCGGGAAGAGATGTACTCACTTTCCACCTGGAGGGTCCAGCTGCAGGACACCTGGCCTCGGCTGTTGGAAGCTGTGCAGCTGTACTGCCCACTGTCTCTGGTCCGGGCACTCAGCAGGCAGAGGTAATAAGCTCCCCCATCCTCATAAACCTCAATGGTGCCTTCTCTTGTTGGCACAGGGATACCATCCAGAAACCAAGTCACTTCAGGCTTGGGGATCCCTGAAACTACAGGCAGGTGAAGAATGTGAGGCCCTTCTGCCTGAGAGAGGTACACTGTGCTTTCTGAGTGGACAGAAGTGTTCAGGCAGGTGGAAGGCAGTGGGGTGGGAAGTGGTGGTGATGGTGGGGGCTTCTTCCCACTCTCGCTGCTTCCTTACCCTGAACTCATCCTTTATGAGAATAAAGATGAGCAAAGGCCCTGGGGAGGAGGAATGTGGGAGGGATGGTTCACCAAGGCCAGAAAGAGGAAGAGAGAGGAGAGGAGATGGCCACTGGTGTTCTGATGGTGGCAATGGTGAGGGTCGTGTTCCTTCTAGGGTGGTACAAATCGGGGCATGGGGCTGATGCTGCATTTTACAAGTGTCTCTCCAGAATGAAGGACTTTCCTAGAGTGAGTCCTCCTGAAGGGAAGACCCCTGGAAGGTGGCATCATGTGGGACCTGTGAGGGGCTGGCTGGATATAGGAAGTGCTGCCCCCAGGGCTGGCTTCTGGGGACCAGGAACTCTACCAACTCTACTCACCACTGCACTTGAACTTGACTGTTTCATGTTCACAGACTTCCAGGTTTTGAGGCTTGCTCTCAAACTTAGGCAGTGTTGAGTCTCTCTGGCCTTCCATGAGAGTTTTCCTAGGGGCAACTGTGCTCACAACTTCTGGGCTTTCCAGGCCAGACCACCTGGTTGGGAGGGTGGTTGGCCGGGAAGCAGCTGGCCTCTTCCTCTCTTCTCCAGAAGGAGATGGAGCTCCCAAAGCTGGCGCTCTGGGTTCCGGCTGAACTTTCGTGGCTTGCAGGGTGATGGTGCTGGGAGTCTTCTGTAGGAGGGGAGTCTGCAGGACCTTTCTGGGGGAGTCCTCACATACCTCTGCTTTAGGCTTCTGCAGAGAATGTGATGGGCTGTTTGCAACCCAGGCCATAGAGCCACCTTTATGTAGGCTGGGGCTGGCCTTACTTCCAGCCATTGTCTCCATGCTGTCCAGTTTGGGCCCCTTTGTGATTCCATTGGTCACCTCCCTCCTGATGTCTGCATCGGGGGCCTTTGTTCCTCTCACAAATGACCTGTGGTGTGGTGGTGGGGAGGGAGGGAGGGAGGAGAAGGAGAGAGCATGATGATCTGTTGTCACAAACATTCTCCTCAGAAGCACAGACTCCAGGGCTCGGCAGCTCATAAATTAGGGGCAAACAAGAGCAGAAGCTTTTCTCTGCAGTTTGCTCAGTGTCCTGAGCCAGAGCACCAGGGCTGTTCTTGACACGTCCCTGTCCTTACCTCCCTCCGGAGCACTGTTTAGCTGTGCTTCTGTTCTCAAGCCACCCAGTGGGCATCCCTGCTCTCACAGCCCCCCTCTAGCCCAATCCTATTCAGCAAGAGTAGTTCATCTTTCAGAAACATAAATTATACTCCAGGGTTTTCCACATGTTCCACTCTTTTAAGAATAAAACAGGGCAAGGGATATAGCTCAGCAGTACAAGTGTCTCTCTGGCAAGTTCAAGGTCTTGAGTTCGATTCCTAGTACCAAAAAAAGAAAGAAAGAAAGAAAGAAAGAAAGAAAGAAAGAAAGAAAGAAAGAAAGAAAGAAAAGGATAAAACAGCCATGTAAGATGCCCTTAGGTGAGCCGGCTCCAGCTCCCTATAAGCCCTCAGAAGATGCTGTCACACTGCTTGCAGCCTGTAGCTGCTCCAGTGTCCATCTGGGCCCCACAGGGCCTCTTCTTTCAGAGATCACACATACTGTTTCCTCTGTTTAGAACACATTCTCTCAGGCTTTTCTTTGCCTGATAAAATTATAATTCATAGGTCGGAGTTCTAATAGCGAGTCTGCAGAAAGGGTTCTCCTAACCTTGAAGTCTGACTTAGCGTCTCTGTCATTCTTCATCACAGACAGGTCACAGCACTAAGTACACACCCGAGTGGCTGTGTAAGCTCTGCTCATGGTAGACAGCTGGCTCACCCCATGTACCAAGGCCTAGTTCTGGGTCTCACACACAGAGAGAAAGCACCTCAGACCACAGGCTGACTGAGGATGCTGGCCTGGTGTCTTTGAAGTCTTCCCAAGCACAGTTAACTTGGGGATAAAGAGGAAAATGGAAGTACGGAACTTTCAAGAATCTTGATACTGACAGCAAGCTGCATTCGAAACTGGAGGGCACATTAGGAAAGGAGAACAACGCACAACATCCCACATAAAAGCCCTCTAAATAAAAACACCCTAAAACCCAGTCAAATCTTCCTTGCTACACAATGTCTTGGAAAATCCAGGGCATTTTTTCTTTTTCATGACTCTTTTCCTTGCAAGATAGCTCAAGATGGAAACCAAGAACCACAAAACCCAGGCATACCTGCTGGCACTGTCCAAACCTGGAAGAAGGGGAGGAAAAAAGACAGTTAGTGGAATACTTTATATGCTTAGAGGAAAAAAATGACAACATGAGTTTTCATCCTTGCCATGATGGTCCCCTCGTCTTTGGTTGGTCTGAGAAACTCTCAGCCCTGGTGAGAGAATCCTAGTGCTCAGGGTGGCCCTCCATGGCTTCTGACAAGAATCCTGTCCCCTTCACTCAACAGAAGAAGCAAAAATGAAGGGAGGGACAAACTAACAGAGTTCATCTATTGAAAATTTCAAACCCAAAGACTTAAATGTAGCTGTGGCTCTCAAAAACAGAACCCTCAAAGTGTTCATGCTGGACAAATACATGCCCTACAAGCATATAAAGTAGAATTTTATTCTGTTTTTCCAAGAAAAAAATAGATGACATACTATTTTCCTGCCATGTTCTCTTTTTAACTTTATCACAGAAAAAATTAAAAAATATACAACAGTAGAGAAAGAAATCACAACCCTTCAAAGCCATAAGCAAGTCTATGGACACAGCAATATTTCCCTGCCCTATCTCTTTTGTCTTGTTTCATTTGTACATTAAGTCCTTGAGTTTTCACAGATACAACTGGACCTTGCATTACAAACATTAGTAGATGCAAAAACAATCACAGAAGTAGCTCATATGTCTGTTGGACGTTGTTTCAGTTGTGCTGTTGTGTATACAGTATTTGTATGTATATGTATTTGTGTATGTTTCACACTACAGTATTTGTGTTTTGTATGGTTTACATTGTATATTTGTGATAAAGGTGTACAAGATTCACTTTGTCAGACTTATTAATGAATCTGACTTATGAACATTCTCCCAGAATGGAACTTACTCGTAAGTCAGAGATTTATTGTACTTTAAAACAAATCACAGGCAACATATCATTCTGTATTAAGTGCATTTTAAGATTCAAGGCTGGGGTAAGTGAAGTGACATTGGTTGAAATCCTGCTCCAGATGTCTGATGGCAGATCCTGACCTTCAGGGAGATGTGAAGTCACATTATTTGATCAGAAGCAGGATTTCCTGTTTTAAGGATTCCACTGGAATAGAGCATACACCAGTAGGCACTGTACATAGAATGAGTCAAAAATTGTTTCACAGACAATTCTTATCTCATTAAATGTGTTTATATATGCACATTTGTTCTGGGTTGCCATGTAAAATAAATTTCCTTCTGTGCATTGTAAAAAACACTGGAGCTAATAAAAAAAGGTAAATGCAACAAGATGACTCAGTTTCTGAGAAAGGAAGGAGATGCAAAAGAGAAATCATAGGAAGAGAAGAGGAAAGAGTGAAGTCACTTCCTGTCCTGAGCCTCAGGATACAGCTAATTTCTATGACCAATAAAATTTATGGCCACAGAAATCACGTCCAGTCACATCACATTCAGCCCCTTCCCCATGTGCATGCTGTAGCTTCCCCAGGCTGCACTTGGAGCCACCAAGAGGAGCATACCTATGGAGGACACTATTCAGAAGACACCAAAGGAAGCACCGACAATGGATAATGATGACTTGAGCACGAGAGGGACAATTGGGAGAAGGATGCTAACCAATCTGGTGAAAAGAACATGGGAATATGGGGTGGAATGAGTCAAGTTGAAGGAACCCTGGGTTTGAAGGACAGAGAACACAACAAGCTAAATTTAGGCAGAGATGATGGCAAGACATCAGCAACATCCACCCCTTCAATCAATGAAGGTACAAAGAAGGTATGTGAGCAGGAAGGAAGGCTGGGGTCAAGTGTAGGGTCACACATGAAGGGGTAGCCCATTCATTGCCCTTTCCCTAGGGCCAGGTCAGTACTGTTGGCCAAACCTACTTCCTTCTTGTCCAAGACCCTGCCCCAAGAGAATGCATGGGTACGTAAGGCACAAACATCCTGTAAAACACCAGGAAGGGGTCCCTCAGCACCACTCCCATACCTGGGATGGAGAGCTCTGCTGACATGGATGCCTTTCCTGATCCATTTACCACCATGCATGTGTACATGCCCACATCATCCTGGGTGACCTCATGAATTTCCAGGACCTGCATCCCATTCTTCTCTGACATAGACACACGTGCACTCGCCTGCAGTGGGACATTTTCCTGTGGATGGCAAAAGGGTAGCTTGGTCACAGAAATTTACTCACCTTTTGGCGCTGCCTGCCTCCTACTAGTCCTGCAGGACAGATCTCTGCTCTGGGTGTCATGCTCAGAGGACAGGATGGGACAGCTGAGTATCCTGCTTTGAGGTCTATGTGTAAGAGATTATTTTGGGTCCAGATTAGAGCAGATGAATGGGAAATGTTGCAAAGGAGTCTGGTCTTGAGATAAAGAATCCTGAATTCCTAACTTCAGTTTGTCTTTGCCTCTCCTCTGACTGTTTCAGATGTTTCTCACTGTCCTGCCCATCCCCACCCTGTCTCATTGCCTCTTCTACCTCTCTTCACTTCCCCATCCTTGAATGATTGCTAAAGCACTTCTCCCTTGGAGTGCCCCAACATTCTGAGGTAGGTAGCACTATTTGTACCTCACAGATAAAGAAAAAGTGTTCCAGAGATCACATGACCTGTCCAGGGTTATATATCTTGAAATGTTCAGGTCTCAACTCAGGTTTATGTTGTTTTCTGAGTGTGGGGATTAGAGGAACACTGTGGTCTGAATAACAGAAGGGGAGAGTGCAAATGGAGAAACACAAGCATCACTATCAAACATACAGAGAACCTTCAAGAACTACCTATTGAAATGGAGAGAACTGATTAGAAAGTCAGACATTCAGTCCAAGTGTCTGACCCAGAACTCCCAGACTTCCCAGAGCTCAGCAGACAAAATCTTACCTTGAGCCAAGTGACCTGAGGTTGGGGCCGGCCAGTGACTTTGCAGGAGAATCGCCCCATTTGTCCTTCTTTGACCACTGCTCGGCCCAACTTGGTAGCAAACTTTGGTGGGCACTCCCCCCAAATGCTAGGACGAGTTTCCACTGCTGTCGTTGAAAATCTGTCCCTGGAAAAAGAAGTCACCAGAGAATCCAGCCCTAGACAAGTTAGTTATTCAGTCTTTTCTCCACCCCATCCAAGTGCCTTAGCCTTCCCAATGCTACACCTGAAACACTTTTCCCTGCCCCCTCTGGAAAAATGTATGTTACCAAAACCTATTGCCTATACCTCCTAGGCATGCAACTACACTCGATTTCTCTGACTCTCTTGTAGGTAGGAATACCTGAATTCTACTAAACTCTGCCAAATGCCTGGGTTTTGGACCATAGATGCTAAGTGGAAGTGTTGTATGCAACTGCCAGGGCTGTCTCATGCAAAACTCTTAAAGATTATTTAACGCTCTCCTGACCCTCTAGTGGCTAGATTTGGAGGCTCCAGGAGATAGGCTTAGCAAATGGAGGAAGAAGCCTTGGCTCCTGGAAGAGAATGTGGAAAGATCCCACTCCGCTCAAGAGCATCTGGATTGAAGTTCCCTTCACTGAGAAATAAGCTTTCTCTGTATTGAATCATTGCCATTTGGCCCTCATCTCTGACAGCAGCTACTGTTACTTGCCTAGTCAAGTCGGCTCACTGAAACCTTCTGACTTAGCTGGATTGGAGTCCCCTGCAGACTATGGTCATATCTCCACTTCTGATAGGGACCACTAGGAAACGGCTCTAAGCTGGATATAAAATTAACCAATTGACTTCCCATGTTTACTTGTGAGTCTGTCCAAGACATAGGCCCCTTGTCTGGAAATGAGCAGTGGATTCATAGTAAGTGAACCTCTGTGAGTCACTGGTTCTGGCTGAGGGCTGTAGTGGCCTGTGAAGCCATCATGCCTCAAAGGACAAGACAAGACCACAGCTAAGCACACATGACTTCAACCTTAATTAACCAGATAAAGATTGTAGCTGCAGGCATCTCACTTCTACAGTGAAGGCCATCCTGGACATAAGATAGTTCTCCTAAATATAATGTATTACTTGGAGAAGTCCTTGGGGACTTCCAAATTCCTGTCCAGATGCACTTTTCTTCAGTATCCTCATCTCTTGTTTGAAAATAGAATAAATGCTGACTGTCCAGAGTTCTTTGTCTTAGCTCCCAGAGAATCTCAAATTCTGTTAGAGGGTCTTAAACCTCCTGGAGCCCTAAAAACATACCCACTTGACTCTGTTATTTAAGCCTTTATGGTACACTTGTTTGAGAGAGTCCAGGCCTGATCCGTGTGCAATAACCAAGGGATAATATTAATATTATGCATTTCCTTAGCATTCAGCAGCCAGGTCAAATGGTCTACCCATGGAGGCTCTCACCCTTTAGTTGGTACAACCTAGGCTACCCAAGAAGACTTACTCCATGGGCCTGTCCTGGTCAAGCCAGAAGGAAAAGCCAACTTAATCTTTACTTTCACTTAGACTTCCCAAAACTTACCCCAGGGTTTTGGAAACCACAGGTTGGCCATGCTTCTTTGCAAAACTCTCTGCCAATATAAAACAGAAAGAAGGGTAAAGAGTCAGGTTTGAGCCAATGTAGAGGCATGAAAGTCAGAAGATTCAACAATGGGGGAAGGTAGACAATGGAAGTAATGGTTCACTCTGGTGAACCATGCACTAAGTCACCAGGGTACTAGGTTAGGTACTTAACATACATTTATCATGTAACTTTCTTGTAATAATGTGGCTGGTTCTTCATTATCCTGTATGTTAAAAGAATGAAAAAAATAAGATTCAGAGAATTTAAGTCATCCACCCAAGGTCATAGTGCCAGAAACAGTGGAGAAATTCACCCACGTTGGCCAGGTTCTAGAACATTCAACCACTCTGCTGAGTTGCCAAGTGTCACACTGGGCTATCATCCATTGTGAGAATTAACTGTGGGGATACAGGACCTCTCCAGAACATGACACATTTCAAGAGATGGAGGGAGAATGACGTCTATTACTGGGTCTGTTCATCACCACTGATACAACACTCCATTTGAGGAAGGCCCAGCAAATAGCAAACTAAAACGCAGCAGGAAGGATCACTACGGATGAGCCACAATACGGCCGGTACCTGCTCTGAATGTGTGGTGCTACCCACTGGGCACTTCCAGGCCTGGCTGAGAAGCTGCTGATCTTTAGTGAGTGGTGGCAATGCTTGTTAGGAAGCAGTTAAACCGCAAACTCAGACAGACGGCCAGGACCAGCTTGTTTTATTCAGCTGCTGCCACTTGGGAGGGGTAATCCATAAGACAACCAGAAAATAATTAGTGAGTTACTTCTTCTGGCTTTCTTTTTTTTCCACAGAGAGGGAGGAGGAGAGAACATTTTTGAGATGGTGATCCCCCAGAAGTTGTCCTCTTTTTTTTTTTTTTTTTTTTCCACAAGCAGGGAATGTTTATACAACCTTACCTAGATACACATGGAAAGGAAAGGGCAAAGGTCATTCTCTGATGTGAGTAGATATCTGTGTTGGAGAATTTGGAGGGTGTTTACTGGAAAAAAGTCAATTTCCTTAAACTCTCACACTGATTACATTTACACAACAGTGTAGGAACACAGGAGTGCAGGAGGAAGACCATGGCTAAATATGCCCTTAGCCATACCTGTAGGATTTGAGGTTCTACCAGAACCTTCATGAAAAGGGATTCCACAATTAAGTTGTGACTTTGAGTTATGGCAATGACTACATACACATTTAACACAACTACTTAGTGATCTGCATCTAGTTTTCATTCCATCACACGATTTAGCTCTTGTCATTGCACTCTCGGTTCAAGATTAGAACTTCTAAATTGATAACAGGACAGGCTTGCTTTGGAAGGGCCCCATGGTCAAACTGCCAGGCCTCTCACTGCCAGAGGAGTACCAACTGTTTAGCTCCCCCAGAAAGTACTGGACAAGTAAGAATCGTAAGCTTTAACATGCTCTGCTCGTGGACCAGCATGACTCCATTCAGAGGAGATGGTGCTAAAAATAGAAAAAAAGGGGACCAGTGAGATAGCTCAGCAGACTAAAGCACCTGCTTGGGCAAGCTTAGGCAAAGTGCAGGGACCATGGTCAGATGCCTGGTACCACATGCCATGCCAGCCCCACCCCCAGGCTGGGCTGAGCAGGCCAGAGTCTGGGGCATAATGGCACATGCCTGTAATACCAACACTGGGGAGGCTGAAAGCAGGAGGATCACCACAAGTCCGAGCTGTGTAGTGAGACCCTGCAACAACCAAATACATAAAAAAAATAGAAAAAAAATTTACAGCACTGTGTATTTTAGTCTTATTTGTAATGGATAATAGCAAAAATTGGAATTAACATATATGTCACTCAGTAGAAAGAGAATAATTGGTTAAACAAAATGTTCAATTACACTTTCTTCTGTCATTAAGCTTAAGAACAGATAAAACAGGAGCTGGGGACTGTAGCACCATTGGTAGATTCCTTGCCTAGCATGTACAAGGCCCACTACCAACAAAAAAATAATCAGTACATGCAGAAATGTGTTAAATATTGTCTCATTTGTTCCCAAGTGAACTACAGCCAAGTTATGAGCCTCACCTATCCACTGGGCTCCAAAGTGGCCACTGTCTTGCCCAGCCTACTGGTTAGCTCTCTGACCTGTCCTCACTCAGATGTCTATAGCATTTGGCATGAGGACCACTCTGCTTCAGCACAGCTTATCTTCTAGACTCTGCTTCTAACAGGTAGCTGTCCTTCTCCCACCTCCTTTCTTATTCAGCACCTATATGTTGTAGCGCTCTCAAGGTGACTCCTGGGCCCCTTCTAGCTCAAGCTATCTCCCTGGGAGGTCTCAGTTCCATAGCTTTAAACCTCACCTCAATGTTGATGACCTAAGCACTATGCCACTGGAAGTTGTCTTGTTCTAATCAGACATATCTAGAACAATCCCCAGCACATTGTAGGTATTCAAATTCTTGTTAAATAAATGAATTTTAAGAAATAAAAGAGCAATATACAAAGTATCTTTTCACTGTAATCATAAGGTGAAACTAAAATAGCCATGCATCAGAAAATTAGAAAAGATCTCTTAATGTTATTAATAATGATTATTTTTTGATGTTAGGATGCTTAATTATTTTATTCATTTATCCATCTCTATTTTCTAAAACCAATGAATACAATGGTAAACAAAAATAACAAACCTAATCGCTAAAAAGATAAAAAGAAAAAAATTATAGCAAGAAAGACAGGAAATGAATTCTGGCATGGAAACAGGATAGACAGGGTTCCCCACACGTGCTGTATACGACAGCAATATCCACAAAGCCAGTCACTAACATTTTCCCCTACTGTACTACTCATTGCACTCACTAATATCACTATATCATTCATCTTATCCTGGACTAAAGATTTTATTAATATTAGATTAATCAACTAATGATCTATGATTTCTCCATACAGTGAAATACTACTCAGGTATAAAAAGGAATGAAATACTGATTTATTTTATAGCACAGAGCTTAAAATATATGTCAAGTGAATGAGGCCAGATGCTAAAGGCCACATACAGTAAGATTCCTTCTATACAAAATGTAAATAGTTGTCAGGCCCTGGGGAAGAAGAAGGTGGGAGGAAATACCCAGTGGGATAAGATGAGTTCCACTTGGGGTAAGAAGTCTTAGAATTAGTGGTAGTAGTTGTTCAACATTATTATTATTATTATTATCATTATTATTATTATTTTAGGGAAGGGTCTACAGAGTGTTCAGGGTCTCACTACTAGACTGGACTTGTAGTGATCTGCCTGTTTACAGTCGCAAAACAGCTGGGATTATACTTGTGCGCCACCATACCCAGTCTCAATTGCTGTCTCAGTGTGCCCTGGGTGTGGGGCTGGCACGGCAGGCCTTGGCATCGAACCCGTGGCCCCTGTGCCTGCTTGCAGGTGCTTTAATCCACTGAGCTATTTGGTTGGCCCAAAACATTATATTTAATGATACAGAATTGTACACTTTAAAATGGTTATGAGGATAAATTTTACCACAATAAAAACTCTTAGAAATGAAACATCTCCACAAAAATGTGGCATTTGCACATAAAACCAGCAGAAGAATGTTATGTAGAGGTGCTTCTATGTCAGAGTAAGAAGAATTTATGGTATAATTCAAGGTGACATAGAAAGCAGCCAGCTACAAGTAAATGTGAGGAATGTTTTTTAATGTGAATTATAACCAAAGAGTTTGCATCAAAACAAAGAGAATTTGGACTAACATAACTAACAAGGTCTATTTATGGGGAGTTTTTTGTTGCAAACTGTTAGATAAGGCAAGATTAATTTTGCAAAAGTATGAAAATCTGGAAAAATAGTTAGGCTGTGCTGAAAAATAAGTGGAAAGTGGATTAAAGGCAGATGCCAAAATTAGAAGAGCCAGTTAAGAGAACTGGTGAAGACAGGCTCAACTTGGCAAGCAAAAGGGAAGACCAAGACACTGAAGGAATTTTAACCACACATCTTAGATTTTTTCAAGGACAAGTAAAAGAATGCTGGCAGGCTTTCTGAGTAAAAAGGTCAATAGAGGAGAGTAAAAGTAAATCAGGGATTCTGTCAGAGGATATAAAAAGACTGAAGGGAAACAACACAGGACTCAAAAAGTGAACAGTATGGTTAAGACAGTAAGGACGAGAAATGCTTCTAAAACTCTCTGCTGAGAATGTATCTCTTGAACTGGAACTCTGCAAGAGACACAACTAACAGGGCGACAGGAGCAAGCCCCGATTGTTCCAGGCAAACAGGCCAACTTTATCCTACTTTAGCCAACTTCAAAGCACTTAAGTGTTGTTTTAAGTGATGTCTTTCCAATCTATTAGAACAGAAGGTCACTTTTTAATGCCCTCATGCCATCTGAATTAAGGTTCATGGCTAACCACCTACACATATGATTTCAAAAGAAAATAAACATGAAACTTTAATTAAGATATTAAGGAAACATCAAAGGAAAATAAATTATAATCCTATGCATGCCCGTATGCAACCATTTAACCATGACTATTTCAATATGTAAATACTCAGGCACAGAAGACAAGCGAATGGCTGGATGCCCATGTCAACTTCTAATGCATGGCTTTCTAATGTTTGGGTTTCAAAGTGGAGGATCAAAAAGCATGCTACACAAGTAAGTCCAGGCAAATGAAGGGATAAAAGTAATCCTAGAATTTAAAAAGGGTTAAAATAAATAATACAGCAAAAAAGAAAATTACTCCCTCCCTCCCTCCCTCCCTCCCTCCCTTCCTTCCTTCCTTCCTTCCTTCCTTCCTTCCTTCCTTCCTTCCTTCCTTCCTTCCTTTCTTTCGGTAAAAAAAAGAAAATAACCATAAAAGGAGGTAAGACATCAAGGGAAGTTAGAGACCACCAAAATGAAGAAAATAAAATAAAAAGATAACCTAAAGTGGGAAGCTGAAACAATTGTGTTTTATAACATGGTATTGAGTGTAAAAAAGCTATCACAGAAACCTTATGTATGTCTTTACAATTGCACCACACC